TCTTTAAACTCAATTTATATATGATAGGGATATATATATATATATATAATAAATGACATACCGAAAAATATAATAATATTATATTATATAAAAAATACAATTTTAAATATAAAAATAATTATTTATTTAAATTTTTTAAGCATAAAAATAAAATTAATTATAATTTATATATCGTAATATAATTAATTTTAAAATTATAATCGGAAGTACATTATAAATAAAGAAGAATTGAAAGTAATAATCAAGTAACAAGAGATGTGGCATCTTCTAAAAAAGAAGAAAAAAACAAAAGCAAGAAGATGGGCACTATTCAATGTTTGAAATTGATATATACATATATATATATATATATATACATATGTGTTGTTGTAACAAAATTCTCTACGTAATGACAAACTATTTTTAGAAAATCTCAACAACAACAAAAAAAAGAGAGAAAAGATTTTAAAAGAAGTAGAAGAAGCTGTTGAAAGTGTTGTCAGCAGAAAAATAATATTTTATTCTTTTAATATCCATCTTTCTATTTTCTTTTCCTCCGGAGACTCTTGGTTTACGTCGCATCCCATCCCAAATCGTTCTTATTTGTATTAGAAAATATGTCATTTACCAATTTTTTTTTTTTAAAAAAAAATTTGAAGTAATTTTTAAATATAAAAATAAAATTAATACAATAATATTATATAATAATTATCTATTTTAATTTTTAAAAAAATAAAAATAGGATTTTATTTCTATTGACTATAAATGCATTAAATCACATTTTTATAGTCATCTAAAATTAATTGAATCAATTTTAATATTAATTAAAATTAACATTATACGATGAACTAAAAGTATTAATAAAATTATAAATATCTAAGAAAATTTGAAAGCCTCCTATAAAATAAAATAAAGTTTACCCCGACGATAAAGCCCAAATCCATTAAACTTGTTTCAAATCATAAAACCCATAAATCCAATAACATAAATCCATTAATCTCAACTTAAACTTAGCCCAAGCCCAAAATGTCCACGACCAATCTCATATTTTATGTTACTTTTCAGTGTTCAATGACAAAATTTTATTACAGCAAGGACTCAACTACTTTCCCAGATAAAAAGGAATAATATTTATTTGATACTTTAAATAAGTAGGATTTCAAATAAGTTTTGTCATTTTATTGAAAAATTTTGATTTCACATTACAAGCGAGTATTCCTCAACCTATTCTCATATTTTATAAAATTTAAATTATTTAATAAATTTTGAGCTATTTATGAATTATACAAAATTTTTGAAAGTACATGTTATATATTATTATTTGTTTCAATTATAAATTTCGGATCAAAAAGTTATCTACTTTAAAAATAATAAAAAATAATATATACAATTTGACGATAATAAAAAGTGATTTACAAATTTGTTTAGAAACTCAATCTAGTTATAAGTTGACTCCATTAATGAAGATAAATATTTAGTAAATAATGTTAAAAATATATTTTTTAAATATAGGAAGATATGTATCGTCTTCATCACAGATATTAAATATAGTTTTACATCTTATAACATGAATATAATGCAACACTACCGCGAGATTTTTATTTATTTATTGATATTTTGTTAAAACTTAATGTAATTATTTTAAATATTTATTTTAAAAAATAATTTTGAAATTATTTATTGCTTTGTTTTTTAATTATGCATTAAATCTGTTTTTGGTTAATTAATTATGTTTGTTTGATCTAGATTTTTAATAATTCACTAAGTTATGAACTCAATTCATTTTTTTCCTAACAGATTTCAAAAATATAAGATTCATATAGAAACTTAAAACGTGTGACTCACTTGAATTTCTATGTAGATAACAAAATTATATTAGTGAATTTTTATTTGAATTAAAAAATTATTTTATTTAAAGAGTTGAATGCTTTGATATTTAAGGTAAAGTTTTAATTTAAAAGAGTTTATTGATTATTAAAACTTAAGATATGCTTTAATTAAGTTTAATATTGTTTTAATCCTTCCCTATTTATAAAATTTTCTAAAAAAATGTAGCATTGTAATGTGCTCAACTCTCAATTGAGCGTTACATGTAACGACCCCGGAAAATTTAAAAGGAATACATATAATAATTTGAGTG